TTTGGAAATAAATTGTGAGTGAAGTTAGTGCTGGTCCAACCAGAAGCATGTGGGCAGGGACAGTCATGCAAATGTAAAGGTCAGGGATCTGCCAAGGATCCCCATGCTGTGCTGCTTAGTTGAAACCTGACAATTTTAGGTATCTCTGTGTGCAAGGAAACCGCAGTGGGCAGCACTGAGTGCCTTTGGTAAGGGACAGCTTTGGGAAGAGTTTGACTTGATATGTATCCAACTGATAAAAAAAATGCTCAACACAAAGAGTGAACTTTCAAGACAGGTCAGACATATTTACCCAAGTCGGCTTGTACAGCTCAGCTAACCCCATTTCTTTTATGAAAAATAACATATAACCTATGAGGGGTTTAGGACAAACATGGGCTACGGGTTCTGTTTTGTTCTATGGATAAACCCATAGTATTCCCTAGCTTACTCATTTCCAGTTTGGCTCTGGTGACTACATCTACAGGGTCCACAAAATTTGTTTAAGAAAACCAAGCCTTGTTCAATAGACTAATGTTTGCTCTACAGAGAGTCCAGATCTCCACTGGAAAGTGTTTGGCATCTGTAAGTTGCAAAAGAGTTGTTCTGACAGCATGCTGTGATATTGTGATATCACACCAATATGGTACCCTGATACTGTATTTTCTTGACAAGAAGTGGTCTCATGTCCCAACTCATCATCGCCACAGCTATCCATATTGAGATTTTCCATACACGACCCTTTTCTATGCACTGGCCAGAGCAGTTTGCCCTCATCTGTGAGATTTCACAATTTGGATTAAACCAAATGGGAGCTGTGTACACAACACTTAAAAGGTTGTAGTTCTGTAGCTAAGCGTGCTCTCTCTTACCTTCATTCCTTTTTGTTTTGCAGGTCGTTACTTTGTGGTATAGAGCTCCTGAAGTTTTGCTTCAGTCCAGCTATGCAACACCAGTTGACCTTTGGAGTGTTGGCTGCATATTTGCAGAAATGTTCCGTCGCAAGTAAGAAACACAGTTTTATTTTCTTCATGTTCTGAATTTGAAATATGAAAAAATATTCAGTGATGTCTAGTACAGTATGTTGGATCACGTTTATATTGGAAAGGCTCAACAAGATGTTTTATTTGTAGTGCAAAATGTGAATTGTGAATTCAAACTTGTGACCACCTTGGAGTCATTCTTTTTTTGATAGGAGTCTGCCTCAGCTCTTGGTAAAGCCTGTATGAGTGTTGTTGTATTCCTCTTACACCTGCATCCAAATGCAGATGAAAGTTGGCTAGAGAGGCTCCTGATCAATTTGAGTCAAGCTGGATTCTGGAAAATGGAAGGAAGGGAGGCATGGTGGTCAGCATGCTCTTCTTGCTCTGAAATACATGCTTTGGAGCATCAGGTGTTTGCACGTAGTCCCCTCTTGGCATAATTGAGATCTCAGAAGTCACTGTAAAGTTGATTTCTAGAGGTAGGAAAGAGAAATGTGATTTTTTAAAGTATAAGCTATTTAGCCTGAGTGTAAGATAACAGAGATAGTTAAATGTAGTCCAATAAAAGAAGTAAAATACTCTTTTTTTGGCTGATATAATTAAATCGGCTATCAGAACTCTCTAGCTACAAAATATTATAGCTGGATGCAGGTGAGCTGTGAATGCGAGAGCAACACTTGCGTAGTGGTCTTTCC